GTATCTTCTGAAAGATTATCGTGGTGACGCGATAAAAGGCGGTTTTTACAAACACGAATTACAACGAGTCGCAGATCCAAATGTTTATTTGATAGAAAAGATCTTACGCAAACGTAGAGACAAAATAAATGTGAAATGGTTAGGAATGAACAGTTTGCACAATTCTTGGATACCAAACATTACTACGTTATAATTTATCGCACACAAACACGTACACATCGTGTAGCATGCGTTAAAAAAATAACCACAGAGCTGTCGTTCGATTCATCGTCAAGCGATGAAATTTATCATCACCGTTATCTCATGCTAAAAATAACCTCAAGGCCGTCGTCCGATTCAATGAGTCAAATTTATCTTCATTGTAATCTCATCGTAGTTTCCTCCTCTCCCCGACTGCGGATGCATCCGTTCGCATTCGCGGTCGATGTGTGGTGCATCGTTACTNTTACAATCGTGGGAGAATTCAACGATGCGGAAGTGGCGCTCGATTATTTACGGAAATATGGCTATCTTAAAACCGACGCATTGTCAACGTCATCGAGAAATATGGAACAAATCTTACGTCACGCTCTTGGATTCTTTCAAGAATATTATCAAATACCCGACAGGGCGAACTAAATAAAATCACATTGGACAAAATGCGCGAACCGCGATGCGGACTCCCAGACCTTTCGGATCAAACGGATCGAAGCAGAAACAATATCTGGCCGAAGAAACATCTCACGTGGAATTTTCGTCTCGCCGACGAAGAAACTATGATAGTAACGCAGGCCGCGTTCAATCTGTGGGCTGGAAATTCATCAATATCTTTTAAACGCGTATCTCAGAATCCCAACAGACTGTTATCGTATCGCGAGGGCCTTCACATGAATATCGACAAGAGAAGTACTAATATGTGCCCGAGTCCTTTAGACGGCCCCGGTGGTGTACTCGCTCCCGCATCCTTTTCCAACGGAGATAAAGATTGCGTCACGGAGGTGCACGTAGATAGAACGGAATCGTGGCATGTTCATATTAGTAGAAATCCTCCACGCATGCACAACCTGTTATACGTGATCGCGCATGAAATCGGCCACACATTAGGTTTGCATCACAGCGAAAACCAGGATTCGATTATGTTTGCCATGGCACCCGTGAAATAAAGTTTCCCATTAGATTGAACTTGGATGATATTCTTCATATTTAATATTTATACGGTGCTAATTACCACGGTTCTACAACTACAACACTGCCCACCACTACAACTGTTGCAACAACAACAACAACAACAGCAACAAAATATATCAATCACGATCCGTGTGCTCTACGAGATCTTGATGTAATATTTNAATCATAAACAATCGACTGTATATTGCATATAAAAAGTACATATGGTCGATTTATATCAACGAAAATACCTATGAAAGTCCAATCGTAATATCAGATTACATGCAATTTCTTCCTGAAAATTTCACACACCTAACGGCTGCATATCAGAAACCCACGGGCAATCTTATGATATTTGCAGATAATTTCATATACGTAGTGTCATATCATAGTTATGAATTGATTCAAAGACTTTCGTTCAACGATTTCGGTCTTCCACCTGCAGCCAGAATCAATACCGCAATAAACACTGACAAAAGACGGAGTTTCATTGTGTACAACGATCACATAGTCGGGGAAATAGACGATTGTTCAACAAGAATTATGAGTCATCGTTCAATCGACAAGATATTTCCAGGAATACCAATCGGATTGACGACCGCATTTCGATATACCGACGGAAATTTATACTT